AGACAGATTTGTTAACACTGTTTGGGTCGGTCGAGCCCCGGGCTGAAGTGACCTAATCTGTCATTAAACTCCTGTTACACTATGAGCGAGGCACAGCTCAATGCCCCCTAAAGACTCTGCTGGAGGAAAGATGAGACTCAATCTTCTGACTCACTGAAGTAGGCTGTCATGAAAACAGCAGACACTAATAAAACCCATCATGGCACAGTTAGACGCCTGCACTGCATTCCAAAACCAACATTTGTGATTCTCTTCGATTAGAATTCGGACTTCGATTAGTACTTTGGACAAAACACTCACCACTGTACATTCACACGGCTGCCAACTTGAGCTTCCAAAGCGTGCAGAAGTCATTCATTTTCAATGGAAGCTGGCTTTTCTCAGCTGCAAGTAGCGTCATATCCATCGGCGTCACGTTTAGGCGTTTTGAGCGTCAATCAGAAAGTTGAAAGAATCTCAACTTTATGGTGATCAGCTATGACGTGGCTCAGAGACAAGCAGCAGCAAAACGCCAGCAACCAATCGGAATATAGACGTCCTTCGCGCTGGCTGATTCCGGAGACACATAGGATGTAAACTTTCGTTCTTCCCAAAACATTAGTTTAGAGAAAATCGAGAAGCAAATAATCTCCATGTCTGGATTTCCTATCATTTATGACATGACATTGTTTATTTAAAAATATTTACGAATGCTCGTTTTAAGTGGGAATGCAATTCATTTGCGCACACTGATTTGACCAATTGCACTAATGCAAATAATAGCCTAATGCAAACAATAATAGTAGCTAATTATTATTTTTTCCCAGACCAAATGTGACCAAAACAGTTGAAAATGCTGTCATTATGAAAGATTTCTTCAATGTATTGTCTTTTTTTCTTCTATTTATTACATTTCATGTTGTGAAACCTCTCTTCTCCCTGCTACGTCAGAGCGTCCAAAGCATCAATAAGCTTCTCCGTACTTTTTGCCAAGCGTCCTTGACAGGGCTGCCAGAGCTTCTTTGCCGCTCAAGTCGGTGGTGGTGTGAACGTACAGTTACACTGAGCAATTTTGTTCGATTTTTCAGGTCTTTCTGTATGTTATGAATAGATTACCTGTGTCCATCATGCTTGAAGAAGAATAGTGAGGCTGTTTTTTAAAGGAGTAGTTCACTTTTAAAAAAAAACTTTTGCTGACAATTTACTCACCGCCATGTCATCCAAGATATCCATGTCATTCTTTCTTCAGTCGAAAAGAAATTAAGGGTTTTCATGAAAACATTCCTAGATTTTCATCTGGGAACCAAATGTTTCAAGGTCCAAAAGACAGTTTTAGTGCAAACTGCAAAGGGCTTTAAACAATTTCAGACAATGAATAAGGGTCTTATCAAGCGAAGCGATTGCTCATTAAAAAATAAATAAATAAAAAAAAAAGTTTAAGTTTTATAAGCTCAAATGGTCACCTTGCTCTGTTCTGTGATGCGCGTTCGTGACTCATCTGTTCGAACTCGTTTATCAAAATGAACGAATCTTTTTTTGTGTCAATTGGTTCATTCAATGAACGAAATGAACGAGTTGACTCGGGAAAAGATTTGTTCACTTTGATGAACGAGTTTGAATAGGAAAGTCACGAACGCGCATCACACCCTAACCCTAACAGAGCAAGGCGACCATTTGAGCTTATTAAACTTTAACTTTGTTATTTTTTTTTTAAATGAGTGATCATTTCGCTTGATAAGACCCTTATTTATCGTCTGAAATCGTTTAAAGCCCTTTGAACAGTTTACACTTAAACTGTCTTTTGGACCTCGAACTGTTTGGTTCCCATTAAACTCCATTATATGGAGAAAAATCCTGAAATGTTTTCATCAAAAACCTTAATTTCTTTTCGACTGATGAAAGAATGACATGGATATCTTGGATGACATGGGGGTAAGTAAATTATCAGCAAAAGTTTTTTTTTTTTTTTTTTTTTTTTAAAGTGAACTACTCCTTTAAGAAGGTGCAATCAAGACTATTCTTTCTCAGGAAGTTGAGTTCTATTGGAGTAAGTAGGAAGCTCATCCACTCCATTCTACCTTTAGTGGACTTGGCTCATTTATTGGAAGATTGGCAATGCCTCGATGTTCTACAGAGCGATTAAGAAGGAATTTTATTCCGAACGCAGTTAGGTTGTTTAATGAAATTGTGTAATTTCTTGTAGTAATTGTTGTTATTTTTAAATGTTTTTAATGTTTAGTATTTGTTTTTGATGTCTGTAATGTGCAATGGTGGCGAATGAGTTTCCCCTTACAGGGATTAATAAAGTTTTCTTACTCTTACTCCTATGCTTGCAGACTGCGAAATGAAACGTAGTTGTATCTGTTTGTTGTAGCAACCTATCCTCAGGTCTTACTTTATGTGCCCATTAACTGTATTTCCTTGTGCTTTTATCTGCCAAAACATTGCAGGTTATCTCATTTGGTTAGAGACATGATGCTGCATCTCTTTTGTGTTGAGGAAGGTAGATACTTGATAAAAGATTATTATCTCTGTGTATCTCAATGTGTATGGATATCATGGTTTCACGACGTCACAATTGTCATCCCATATAAAATGTTCAATCAGATTTAAAAAAAAACTTAAATATGCACTGCTATTCAGAAGTTTAGAAAGATTTTATACATTTTTTAAGTTACTTATGCTCACCAAGGCTGCATTTATTTAGTTACAACAGAAATATTGTGAAATATAATTACTATAATAACTGTTTTCTATTTTAACATTGTAATTTATTTCTGATGACAAAGCTGCATTTTCAGTATCATTACTCCAGTCTTCAGTGTCACGTGATCCTTCAGAAATAATGTGCTTATTTAGTGCTCAAGAAACATTTCTTGTTATTAGCAATGTTCAAAACAGGTATCCTTCTCAATATCGAAACTGTGATTTTTTTTTAGGATTTTTTGATGAATTGAAAGTAATAAAAGAATGGCAATACATTTGAAAGGGAAATATGTTGTAACATTATAAACGTCTTTAATGTTTGATCTATTTAATACTTCTATGCTGAATATTTTTTAAAAGACCACAAACATTGAACAGTAGTTTTTTTGTTTTGTTTTGTTTTGTTTTTTTTAGCTCATATGCAATTTGACTATTTTTTAAATGAATAATGGTTCTTCCAATACAAATTGTTTCAAAGCAGCTTTACAGAAAACACATGTTTTAATGATACAATGATGTCACTGGATTCAGGGAATTTAGGATTAAATTATTGCCCTACGGAGAGGCCAGCCACAGTGGTGGATGTTCAAAAAAAAAAAACTTTTTCAGTACTTGCGATCATCTGTAGCAGCAAAATAATGTCATATAACAATAAAATATACAAGCCTGTGAATCTTTATGCATTTTGCGTACCCAGATTACCCGTCCGTTGTTGATATTATCTGCTGTCAAGTGAGGCTTGGTCCAAACTCGAGCTGGTAATGTCTTTAGTTACCTTGGGATGGGCATCCTACGGTAAAAAGCTGCTGTTCAAATTTCAGACAGATGATAATTTGCATTTAACATTTCATCAGACATGACTGAAATAGTGTCTATTTTCTGAAAGTTCAGCTAAAGAGAGGTTTCTGATCTAGATTAAACCTGAGTGTGTCTAAGCCCTGACCATTATCAGAAAGGCTGTTCCAGAGTTTTGGAGGCAAATGCAAAAAAATGGTGGACTTCCTTTGGTGGACTTTGGCACTATCAATATTTCAGACTTTTTGTGACCTTAAATAGCTAGATTTTGTGAGGCAAGTAAAAAGGACATCAAATGTGTTTCTACATTAACTGAAAATGTCCTTGCTATGACTTAAAGATCTTGTGACTTATGATATTCCTCGACTTGATCAAATTTAACAGATGGTTCTGATCTGCTAGTGCTATAATGAAGTGCTGACATAAAAGTATAATCAAGAAAGCTTTGACAGAGCACAAAGCTTTGACATATGGTCCATTTAATCAGCTGTTACTATCAGTTTTGTATATATACCAAGTACATATTAACCAAATCTGCATAGTTTCCCTGCCTCACATTACACCGCCTCGACACAAACACATTTCTTCTATTCTGTAAGGAATTTCTTGACCTAATAAGTAGATACCAAGCTTTTTTCCTTTTTACCTTTTTACCTTGAACTATTTAGAGATTATTAGAGGGTTTGTTTCAAAAGAAAGTCTTAATGATATAATAAAATATCCCTTATATTCTGTTTTAGGGTCTCAGAAACAAGGCAATTTTAATAGCTTGAATATCTCGACATGACAACACACTTCAAAGATCCTCCATAAAGGATTTGACTACATGCTATATGTTTGGGGTCTTGTGACTTGTAAAACATGATTAAATCCAATGTATTTTCACATTATAATTATTCTATAAATTATTCTTTTAATTATTCTTTAAAAGTTCGTCAAATTAAGCCCAAACAGAAATAACATCATAAAGAATGGATACTGATCACCTGCAAGACATGTGGTTGTTTTTCTTGAGCCATTGTGTTTAAATGATTATTGTATGTATGTATGTATGTATATAGCATTTTTTGTTGTATTTATATGGCTGCTACCTTGGCCAGGTCTCTCTTGTAAAACAGATGTTTAATCTCAATGAGACTTCCTAGTAAAATAAAGGTTAAAAAAAAGAAAAAGTCAAGTGCATGCATACTTTAAGATACAACAGAGATACTGTGTAATAATAGTAGACTTAATGGTATCTGCTGGGTTCTAATTAGGTTAGAGGAACATGACAAATTTGAAGGCAAAATGAATGATTCATTTTGTATCCCAAACATAAAAACAGTGCAATAAATCTCCTTTCAATTTTTAGTTATTTTTTAAACAGCATTTCACTTTGAATTTGAGTTATTTCCCACTGGATTCTCACCAAATCTGTACAACAAATTTAGGTATTTTTGGAAAGACAAGCCAAAATTCTCTTGGTGCTATTTCTAGAGAGTGGTCATAATTAAATATTTATTTATTTATTTCTTTTTCAGATACAGAAGTACTTTGAATTGCAGCCGCTGAACCAAGGGAAGCGATGGATTCTTGCAGGCACCACAACAAGCAACATGGAGGCTGTGAGAGAGAGTTTCAGTCAACTCATCAGCCTTTTGGAAGAAAAGGAGGTGCTACCTAGCAGGATATGATTCAATCAAACTTCAAAGTGGAAAGTGGGTTTGAAGTGTTGCTTGCTAGAAGGAATTTTTTGGACCTCTCATTCGTCGTTGTTTTATAACCCACTGGAGACATAGATGCAAAAAGCCACATGTTTTGATGAGCTGACTGACATATTTGTCACCCTTAGGTCAAGGGCCACACATATGCTGATTTAGGAGCAGGTGAACCAAAGTCCTTCAGAAATCAGATTATTTTTTTTTTTACCATTATTTGTAAAACTAATAAGCTGATGATAAGCAATATGTTGTTTATTAGTTGGCTGTCATGTGATGTCACATAGAATATGATAAACGGACCAATCCATATTTCTTATAATTGCATTCATTCAGCACCTTTATAGAAAATACTTTATTATACATTATATTATTGTATTTACCATTATTATTGTTATTATTATCATAGCAAATCTCTTTATTCTTTCTTTTTTAGAGAATTTTTTGTTCGAGATCTTTTTTGTTCGAAAATACGACACACCCATTTACTTGGCACTGGTTTGAGCTGGAATACAAACTCTATCAATCAGTGTCCGCAACAGCTGCATTTGACAAGTCCCTGTCCGCCAGGCTTAAGCCCTCCAACTATCTGTGGAGACTCCTCCCCGTCTGCCACCTCACTCTTTGCCCAGCCACGCTCGGCAGCCTCACCCCCTGTTTCCTGGTGGTATTATCCAAATTCCTCTCCACAAATTTAGATTCCTGACTATGCACCTCTCTGCATTTTGTTACCAGACTTGTTTCAGAGTAGTTTAGGACTCACGCATGCTGTGTTTCTGAATATTTATAGTGTTAACCTGTGGATGTTTTGCCCGCCAATTGCCACTTGACGTCTTATTTTGGGGGTAAACCATTTGTACTGCTTTTAAATTGATTTGAGCACATGTACCAGTTAGATATATCAGTGATCCTTAGTATACCCTCAACCTACAATCCTCATGGCAACACTTCACTTTAAAGTTAACTATATTAACATTAATCAATCTACGTATAAGGTATGAACTGCACATTCACTGTTTTTAGAGCACTTATTAATCTAGGTCAGTGTTTGGTTAAATATAGATACTATTGTTAATTTTATGTTTGTTAATAATATATGTTCAAAATGTACTGTTGAAATTACTCAGTTATTACTTATTATAAACAGTTTATATTTATTAAATGCTGTAAACTTGTAAAAAGTTTGATGTTAGTTTATTTTAGCTATGACATTCATGTTATCCCTATTTTAAATGATCACCATCTCACATTTGAATCGGAATGTTGTCTTCATTACTACAAATATCAAATTATACTTTATTATGTGTAATTGTTTATTATTTCTGGCAAGGGCATTTAAGTGTAAAATACATCTGATGTGCTTTAAGCCATTGGCTTCTCAATAGTAAAATCAAAGCAACCCAGTAAAATAATCAAACCGTCCATCGTATCATTGCTTCCCCATCTAATCTCTGTCTCGAACACAAATTTCATGCGCTTGTGGTCTGATGTAGATAAAAAAAGGGAAGTTAACGTTTCTCAGACAGGGTTCCTGATCCAACCAGGTTCATTTTTTTTTCCTCCCTCTTTTCAAACTATACACGTTGCTTTGATACAATGTCTGTCACGCAGGTTGCCCCTGCGATTCTTTGATCTGCTCTTCCTCTGTCTGCGTCTGACGCTCTTCTCTAGTCTGCTGCTCTTGTCTATCCGCTCTCAGAGAAAGCCCTTTGCCCCTTCTTTCTCTGGGCGCTCTGCTTCCCTTTGGTCACGCTAATGGAGCCCACCCTCAAAGCAGAAACGCTGCAGAAAACCAGTTTGGCCTGTTAAAATTGGCTTGTCTCTCCGAATAAGAGGCCCACAGACAGATTGCACAGGCCCTTAGGCCAGGAACTTATTAAATGCCCCGTTCCTATGCTTCGGGCGACACTATCTGAATGTCAGTAATGTAATTAGATGCACACCGTGACACCTTGCAGGTACTGAGACAAACACATCCCAGCTTTTTTGTTTTTGTTTTGTTTTTGGCTTCAGTCTTGCTTTTTTCATCCCACCGAGCGGTCTTAAAACCCTCCCACATGGGATGTCTTTTATAATACCAGTCTTAACTCTATTTGCATATCATTTTTCTCGCTTGGCTCAGTTTCACACTTGCTGTGTCTAGACAGAGATTATTTTTAGTTCCTTAGCAGGAATTCACCAGCAACTGACAAAGACTTGGAACAGAGCGGGGTGATCTTTGTTAGGATGACTTTTGAGAAGGAGGGGAAATGCGTTTGCTTGCTCTCCTCTAAAAAGTCCTTTCCCAGTTCCGTTTGCTCGCCTCATCATTTAAGTCCTCTCAGTCAGAAATGGTAATGCGTGACTCGTCGAGGAACCTTTTTGTTTACAAGGAAAACAAAGCTTGTTCGTTGGTGTTTTCTCGAACGGCGAATGTTTTGCTCTCCCTCAGTCTAAACAGCCGAGTAATCTCAAGCTTTCACAACCTGTTGAAGGGGCTTGCCCCTGTGGAAATGTAACAGATGTTCCCTTGACATCCATCTGGTCCTCGTGATCCAGTTCCGTGCCACACTGTGAAGGTTTTTTCCTTTTTAACAGTTACAGCTTGTCCCCAGTAAGGGGGCTGATCTCCCATGTCATATGCATGAGCGGGATACAGTGCCACCGGTGACTTTACTCAAAGCCCCAGGATTAAAAATAAACACAGTAGTCTCTCCCACCCTGAGTTGGTCTTGACAACGGGACTCGGAACAAAAGCCAGCTAGCGAGATCTTGTTTGTGTTCCCGTGTTTGTGTTTTGAAGAGAGGAGGAAATTGACATATGACCAGGGTTAATTTAAAGGTGTTTTCCTATGCATGTCAGGGTTCTCAGCATGGCACCACACACCTTCTCACTAAAGCAAACAACATATGTGAGCTATCAGTGATATCAGCTGCAGCGAGAAACCCAGATAAGAGACAAATATTAAAGGATTAGTTCACACTAAAATGTAAACCATGTCACTTGCTCATCCTCCAGTTTGTTCTAATCCAATATTGCTTTTAATTATCTGTGGACCACTAAATGTGATGCTTTTGTGCTATTTAACTAATAAAAAAAAAATGCATTAAATACATTAAAATGCAATTCATACGTGGAAAAACCATCCCACATATTAAGTAGTGCAACTCCCCAAAATAAATAAACAAATTCATGTTATTTGTTACAATACTAATTTTACTTTTAATTGTACCTTTATTTCTTTATTCATTTATTTTTTTTAGAAACTAAATATTAAGATGTGTATACAAAAATAATTTTACAGTAGTTTTTTGTATTTTTAAAAATAAGGTGGTCAAAAAGAAAATATGTTACAGTATGTTATCTTACCTGACTTGATGGGTTACATCACTTGGCATTTTGTGTTAAAATTCAAACATTTATCGAAAATGGTATAAAAGTTTTTCAAAATCATATAAAAGAGTTTATCACAAATATTTTTCCTTTATCACACTTATTCAGTAAATTACTTCTCAGCTATGAATCTTATTTGATCACAAAGTCAATAATTTAATAATTGAGCTGGCACTGGCAAAAATAATTTCAGACACTTGAAATGCTTACAGTTAGTTTAAAATTGACTAAAACTGAAAAGAGAGAAAAGATTAATTAAGTGGGCTAGATATGATGACAGAAAATTCTGATCCTTTTACTGCCTTGTTTTGAGTAACCAATGCAGATTACTGTGAGTCGGAGTTCGAAAGATAACTTCACTTGCTTGCGTCACTGAAGTGTCTGAGCTGCTCTTTTTGGTTCATTTGCAAGAGACAATCTAATGACACAGACAAGAGGTTTGGTCACTTGGCTGAACAGTCTCCATTGAGCTTGTCATTCAAGCTTCTGTTTGTGCTCCTTTGGAGGATTTCTTTCTCCTCCGTCCTCCTCTCATCTCCTCTCTTCCCATCTTATTTTCTCTCTCATCTTTTGGCGCGATGATGGAGTTGTGTGTCCCAGGTGGCCCACTCATCAAAACACAAGGGATCTGGCTCCTTATTTCAGACAAAAACATCACACTCTTTGTTGTCTAAAGGAAAAGATGCGGATGAGGATTTACCCAGGAGAATCTTCCCTCCCCATCGCCCACCAAAAGCTGTCTCCGCCCCCTGCTGTCAAAGAGAAATGTCAATCAAACAAGGGCATGAGGTCTGTTGAAAAGGTCATCAAGTGGTGGTCATTGCAGCCATTGTGTTCCTTGCATGAATGGAAAAGACAATCCAGGTTATCCAACTGACCTCACTTTGGACTAACTCCCCCTTCAGATATACTGAGAGGAAGATTTAGACGTCCAGACGCAGAGCCTTAGTTCGTGTAACAGATCATGGAGTCCTAAAGAAGATAAGCATGTCATCCTTTTTGAGCAAGTCTTTGAGGTTTTTAGATTTTTACATTCAATAAATACACTTTAGTGTCCTTTAATATTATATTCAGTATAAATTAAGTAACTGTATATCCCAAGTTGTTATAACATAAAAAAATAAGATTTCAGTAAGGAAAGTATTGTACAAGTATTGTAATTTTATCATTAAAATTAATTATTAAAATTTAGATATAACTTCCTTTTTTTTGTTAATCTAATATGAACTAAATATACAATTCACAAAATCACACACAATGTTAAATTTTTTGTTAGATTTTTTAGTAACAGGCATGCACAAATTGTAATACCCCTTTGAAAAATAAATCAATAAACAAATAAATAAATAAATAAACAAAATTTCCAAACTTCTAAAGTTGGCAGTCAACTTTTCCTGAATGTTGAGTACCTTCTTTCACCGACTGTCGGAAAAAAAAAAAATTGAGGGTCTATTTTGTACCTTATTTGTGGTAACTGGCTTATATTCACTATACTACCATTCAAAAAATTGGGGTCAGCAAGCAATTAATTATTATATTGATCAATGACACATTAATTTGTTCAAATGTGACAGAAAATGTAATATATATCATAGCATAATATTACAAGAGCACAATTTTTCAACATTTATGATAAGTAATTATGAAATATATTATATAGAAAACAGTTGTTTTAATATATATATAATATATTATGTTCACAATATTACAGTTTTTACTATATTTTTGATCAAATGAATGCAGCTTTGGTGAGCATAAAAGACTACTACTGACCCCAAACGTTTGAACGATGTGGTGTTTGTTTCAGTAAACAAAATTCATTAAATGCTTTCCTCTCTACACTCACTACAGACTTTTATTTACTCACCAAGAAGTTTATTTATCTTCCTATAATGTGTGTTCAAGTAATTATTTCTCACTAATTACTTAATTGTTAAAGCCAAATGTCATCCCATATGGAAACATTTAACATGGCATGAGACCTCCGGTGACATGGATTCCTTTGAAGAGACAAATAATCCCCATTCAAAGAAGCACCGAATGTAAATCATACCATGGGACACTCAATTAATCGTTTTTGTCTTGTAAATATTTGATTACTCTATTTGATTTCCTCTGGGGCTGTGCTCCAAGCGCTGTAGGTGGATTATTTCATTTTGTCCAAACAGTTTACACCAGGCCACAGCTTCACTTACGACACTATGTGGGCAGCTTACGCCTCAGAAATGCAAGAAACTGAGGTTTAAAAGAAAGAGCAACTAATTCGTCATCACAAACTAGTAAACACACAGTTTCTTAGAATGCAGGACACCTGGGCTTTACAAATTAAACTGACGTTGTTTAGAGTTCATCAGGTGAACAACAAGTCACGATTTTGCAATGACGCCTCAGTGGACAGGAAGTGGACTTTCTCAAAACATGTTTTCAAATGCAGGCTGAAGAAGCCACAGCATGTGTGTGGAGATTAAAAGTAGGATAAGAGAAGAGAGGCAAAATACAGTGAAGCTTTACTGTCGCTCTGAAGGCGAGCGAGGGGATAGATAATGAGAAAACGCTCAGGGTGACAGACAGAAAGTGGGTTTTAAGGGGGAGAGGATTAGGGTTAAAAGTCACAAAGGTCACACAAGAAACCAGTTCACATCCACTCTGCTGATGTCTAAAATACTAATTGAAGGCACGGGAAAAGATGTCTAATTAACAGCAGAAACATTTATTCCCACGTCTCATCGAAAATGAATTCCTCGTCTCTTGCTGAAATAGAAAGACGGCTATAATGTTAAACTTTTAGCCCAATTAAACAGAATAACTCATTCACTGATACTAAAAAGTATAGACTATACTTTTCCCACAATTACCGATTACAGCATCAAATGTAT